GATCATGCGTATAAAGGGCTTGTCACATCAAAGCTTAGGAAATATCAACAACCATCACCAAACTCACCATTGTCAAGCCTGTAGCTCCTTTTATTCCTAATACGTTTTCCAAGTTCTGAAATATTAATAGTGAACTAGGATTTTTGTATATTATTTTTGCATCTTCAGTCTCACCCTGCCCGGTGCATACTGGTCCTCTAACTACAAATAAGCTCTTGTCTCTAAATACTAAAAAAATTTCCCTTGAATTTTAGATTTCTCTTTTGCCCCTACCATAAGTACCACCCACCCTAGGAAGCCTACCATCTCTTCTCTTTCCTTCCTTTCCCCAAGATTTTTTTTAACTAATTTTTATTATAAGAGTAGTACATATCTACTATAGAGAAATTTTTTCAAATGAAGACAAAGAAAACAAAAACATCACATTTCCACATCCAGATGTCTCCACTATAACAGCTTTGTGAATACACTTCTAAGTGTTTTTGTATATATTTTTTATGTGTATTTATTTGACAAAACGACATAATGAGGTTATTAGCCAAGTTGCATTCTTCTCATTTAATACTATGATTATACTCAGATTTCTCTAATTGGTTCAACAATGTCCTTCACAGCTAGTTTATCCAAACCAGTATCTAATAAGGACTATACATTGGATCTGGTTAATCCCTTTTGTTGGCGGTGATGGTGATTGGTGAGTTGGTTTTGTTATGTGTGTGTTTTTATAACTCTCTCATTAAAATGACCAGGTCATTGCTTCTAGGCCTTTTGGCTAAGATCAAGTGTAGTATCTGTTATTACCAGTTTAAAATGACCAGGTCAGTTGTCCTGAATATCCTACCATCTGGATTTATTTGGTTGCTTCCTTGCTGTGTCATTTATCATGTTTTTCTATGCCCTGTGTTTTGATAAACTGGAAATTATATATAAAGGCTTAGTGGATTCACTTTAAACATTTGTGCTAGACTATTCTAGTGGTATACACGTCATGTGTTTCATATAAAAAAACATAATATATGGTTGACCCAATATTAGTGATGCTGAGACTAACCATTAGATTATTGGTCCCTAATCTTTGATCTAGTTTCAGTCTTTCCATTTAATCAGGTTTCCCCCTTACAGCTAGGAAATAATCTATGTGGTATTATTTAAGCATATGTTCCAATTATTATTGCTGTGTAACAAACTACCCCAAACTTAGTGATATAAAAAAGTGTTTATATGCTCACAGATTCTGTGGGTCTGGACTTCAGACAGAGCATGGTGGAGATGCTTGGTCTTTGTTCCATATTGTCTGTGTTTTCAGCTGGAAACTTTAGCAGTTGAGGGTGACTTAAAATTACTAAAGGCTGAGACATCCTCTGAAGGCTTCCTTCATTCACATATCTGGCACTTGGCCAGGAACTCAAGGCAGAACTCAGTTCGGACTGTGGGCTGGAACACCTACATGTAACTTGGGATTCTCAGAGCATGACAGTTGGGTTCCTAGAGAGTACAAAATGCAAGAATTTCAAGAGAACTGGGCCAAAGGGGTGTGGCCTTGGAACTCACCTACAACATTTCTACATTCTATTGATAATATACAAGTCACCAAAGCTGACCCAGATTCATGGAGAAAGGAATTAAACTTTAGCTCTTGATGAGTGAGTGACAAGGTCACACTGGAGAGAGCATGTAGATTTAGAAATTTTATTGTAGCCATCTTTAAAAAATACAGGCTGCTATAGTATAATATTGATATCTTATTCTCCAGCAGACATTTACTTAAGAGCTTTAATAACAGTTGATAATCCTTGCCAGAATCATTCATTTTTTTATGAATGGCAAAGTTATGTTTTTATAGTTTTACCGTTTTGAAATTATCATTATAGCTGGTATTATTTTGTAAATTATTATGAGCTTTCTGTCATAGACTGGGACTGTTTAGTTACCCAAAATTCAGTTCCTACTGAAAATACAAAGTAATTGCTTGATTCTTTCCCTTCAATTATTAATTTTCAGGAGTTATTTTAAAATGAGTTTATATAACCTTATAAGAACTTTTTGAATATCATAATGAATTGATGAATTTTTATTGATTCAATGTGAGATTTCATTGATTCAGTTTCATTGCAGTCATTGTTCTTTTTGATACTGAAATTGTTTCAGTTTGTACACTGGGAGCTTCAAGCTTGTCTCTTGGTCAATTTGATACCCCCATTAATCAACCCTCATTAATTTTGACAGCTCTCATTTCTAGCCATTTGAAAATTTGTGAAAGAATTGCCTAGGCTTGAGCTCCACCAATCTGGTGTCTACCCTGGCAGTTAATAATATTACCTGCCAAGTTTTGTGGGTTTTTTTCCTCACCTGAGGACATTTTTCCATTTTTTGTTCAGGTAGAGTGGGAGGGAGAGAGGGGAACAGAGAGAGAGAGAGAAACATCGACGTGAAAGGGACACATTGAGTGGCTGCCACCCGCACGACCAACCAGGGCTGGGGACAAACTGCAACCGAGTTCCCTTAGTGGGAACTGAACCCGGGTCTCTCAGGACCGCAGGCCGATGCTCTAACTGCTGAACCAAACTGGTCAGGGCTACCTGCCAAGTTTAATTGCCCTTTTTTAATGTTCAGATTCATTAACTTCTTACATTTACTGTAGTTGATTACTCCCTTTTTCATGAAAGCCTCTTCTACTCTGATTATCAAGATACATCAGTGTTCTAGTTCTTCTCCTCTTTCTCTGTCTTTTCCTTTTCTGATCTGAATATAGGTATTTTCCATGTTTTAGTTAGTAGCCCTTCTTTTTCTATAATAGCTCTTGTGCTTTCGTGTATTTCTGTAATTTCAACCATCAGCTCGGTGGTCGTAGTTGGACTTTAATTCTAACATCAATTTCACTTCTCAGCAACATACTAACATCTTTACCGAGATGTACTACCAACCTCTCAACCCCAGTCTGTCTTACCCCAAACCTCCTCTCCTTCCCTTCTTATAGTTCCTCTTAGTTCTATTTGTATTCTTAGCAGCCACAGTTCTATTAGTTACCCAAGTTTAAAACTTCTGAGTCAGCTTTTTTCTTCTGTCCATATCTAATTAGTTACCAAGAATTGGCACAGGTACCAATTCTACCTCTAAAATATTATCTTACATTTGTATCTTTCCATTCCCATTGCTACTGTCCTAGTTCTAAGTCTCATTACCACTTCCTTGGACTGTTATAATAGCCTCTTTCAGTCCATCTGTGCCAACCTATCAATACAGTTGTCAGATCAATCTTTCTCAAATACACCTCTGGTTGGTCACACACAAAACCAAACATTCTGTTGGCCCTCACTTTCTTAGAGTAAAAATAAAGTACTTCACCCTGTTGGACAGGGCCTCTACAGTCTATCTATAGAGCTTTTTTTTTTTTCTTTCTTGCCTTGTCATTCTGTCACTATTTTTGCCTTATACTCAAGAAAACTAGACTATGTACTTTTCCCCCAATATACTTTCTTGTCTCCGTGTCTTTGTACTGTTCCTACCCTCTAGTTTCTACTACACTGACTCACCTAACTACTGACTTATCTCTACCCATTTCAATTCCTGCTCATTCTGCAGGCCCAACTCAAAAACCATGATACCATGATGCCTTCTGTTTGTTCCTTAGCCAAAATGTTCCTTCTTCTGAACTCTAGCTGCATTTTGATCAGACCTTGTTATTGTGGCTGTTTATCTTTCCCCTTGTATTATACACTTTAGAAAGGATGAATTATAAATTTTCAGACTTGAAATTTCTATAGCAAATACCAAGTACCAAGGTATGTACTTCTATAGCAAATACCAAGTACCAAGGTATGTACTAAGGACCATAGTTATAAACATAAATCAGATACAGCTCTGCCTTCAAGTAACTCAGTTCTACTGAGAAGGGAGCATTAGTACACAGTTATAATATAACTTGACAAGTATTATTTAAAACAATAGTCACACACACACACACACACACACACACACACACAGTACTTTGAGAAGCAGGGAAGGCTAGTCAGAAGTTTAGTGGAGTTAAACTGAACCTTGAAGAATAAGCAGGAGTTAAATAAAATCAGAGAAGAACATTACAGGAAGAAGAAATGACATACTCAAATCCATGAAACTATAAGCCATTCTGTATGAATAGATGTGAGGTTTAATGGAGGCTGGGAGAGGTTAAGGGAAGGTAATACTTTAAAGATATGTTAGGGCCAGATTATTTCAGGCTTTGTTTTGTCATAATAATGCCTTATTTTACAATTTCACATTCATTTTGTGTAATTCATAACAACCCTTTTTAGTAGGCAAAAACCATTTTAGTTATTTAATTCTCTGTAGTTTTTGGTTATTTTAAACATCAAAAACCACATTAGATTTTACATTTTCATTTCAATGTGCATCTGAGGGGAGAGAGTAGGGAATGGGGATACTACATCAATTACCCATTTCTGAATTTAAAACTACCAGCAGCAATAACTTGTATAACTAATATACTGTTCTCATTCCCATTCCTACTCCAGTTTCCTAAAATACCATTTCCTATATTTGATCAACAAGGTGCAACAGCATTTTTTGCCATCTAAGATGTTTTTTTAGTCAGTGCTCTATGTTTTATTAGAAAATAGCAAGTTAAATTACATTCTTAAAAATAAGGTACTAATTGAAATTCTGTTTTCAATAATATGACTCTTTTCTGTAAGCCTAATTATTTTATTAATAACTGGGTCTGCTATTTCCTCAGTAATATATATTGCCAAACATTCTTTAGAGGCTAGTTTGAATTTTTAACAGACATTTTAATGCAATAATTTTGTAAATTTTTTTTTAGAAATCTGATTCTAGGATGTCTTTTAAAAATGGTGTGACATCCAACTGATATAGGGCATCCTATTTATAATGTGGGCCAAGCACCATGCTGTAAACCAGTTACTATCATGATGATCAGATTGAAAATGAAATTGCATTTCTGTCAATTACTGAGTTGGCAACTGTTCAATATATCTTAGCAGCAAGATGAAGAGCGACGTCGGCAGCTGAGAGAGAGAGCTCGTCAGCTAATAGCAGAAGCTCGATCTGGAGTGAAGATGTCAGAACTTCCCAGCTATGGTGAAATGGCTACAGAAAAGTTGAAAGAAAGGTCAAAGGCATCTGGAGGTGAGTTAAAGAATCTTGTATCATATTCTACAGAAAACCCAGAAATCCTCAGTAGACACTTTGGGACTTTTTATTCTTTCTTCAAAATGTTGCATCAAATACATAAAGTTTCTAACCTTTTGATATGTTGCAAAAAAACTTAAAGAAAGCATAAAAAATCAGTAGATGACTATTGCTATTTTTCAAATCAACTTTTTGGCTTTATTTTTAACAACTGGGAGTATTTTCTTAGAATATAATTTAGAAGAAAACTCAGACAGACTGGTTTGTGGTTCCCCATGGTATTAGGAGTAAGTAAAATGCAATCCAATCCTCAACATCTAGATCACAAGACTTGTTAGGTGGGGAGCTTTGGCATGAAACGTTTTTACTTTGAACCAGATCTTTAGAAAGTAGCTTCAAGAAGTTGTGGCATTATAACCTGACATATAAAAAGTTTTAATAAGTCTCATATTCATTTATTCTTAGTTTCCTTATCCTAATAGGGTTTTCTTCAATATCTGCAGAAATTAATCTAAGCTTGCAAGTGTTGGGACAAGGACTATTTATACTGTAATTAAAGAGAATTTTAATTTGCCCCTCAGTGCTCAATTTGGGTATCTTTAAGTTGGAACTTTTTAGAGTTTTATTTAAGAGGCCTGTGGGTTTTCTGTTATTTCAAATATATATATGTGTGTGCGTGTGTGTGTATGACCTATTTATCTACCAAAACATGTCAGGTACTTGTCCTAAGTTAATCTTAGAATGCTAAGATTACTGTAAAGAGTAGGCAAGTGAAGACTCAAAAAAGACTTTAGAGAACTGAAACAAAGGTAAGCTATTTCTAGGTCAATGATAAGTTTCTTCAAAGTAAACTGAAACATACTGCTGTTATTTCTTTTTTTTTTTTTTTATCCTCACCCGAGGACATTTTTTCATTTTTTTGTTCAGATAGAGTGTGAGGGAGGGAAGGAAGGAGGGAGGGAGGGGGGAGAGAGAGAGAGAAAGAAACATCAACGTGAAAGGGACACATCAAGTGGCTGCCACCCACATGACCAACCAGGGCCGGGGACAAACTGCAACCGAGGTACGTGCCCTTAGCGGGAACCGAACCCGGGTCTCTCTGGACCGCAGGCCGACACTCTAACCGCTGAGCCAAACCAGCCAGGGTTGTACTGCTGTTATTTCTAATTGATTCCTTATATTAGAAGTTTAATGTTGTAGAGAATTCCAATTAATGCCTATAGCATATAATCTTCTATCTCATAAATTTGAAAGCTGCTTTCCCAAACAGCTATGTATCTTGTACCTCTTCTCAGAATGTTTACATCTTAGGTAAATACTTCATGTTTACCTTTTCAATTCTTATCATACAGTTTTTATTGCAATTTCTACACTCTCTACTAAAGTTTTATAGTAACATGACTAACTGCTCACAGCTATATTTACATAATGCTATGATAATTTGCTTTTATTTATTATTAATAACAAGATGTTTCTTTGATGTTATAAAAATTCCAGATATTCTGCCCTGGCTGATTTGGCTCAGTGGTTGGAGCATCGGCCTGTGGACCGTGGGTTTGAATACAGTCAAGGGCACGTATCTCGGTTGTGGTTCAGTCCTCGCCCTGGTCGGGGTCATGTGGGAGGCAGCCAGTCTATGTCTCTCTCTTACATTGATGTTTCTCTCTCTCTCTCTCACTCTTCCACATACTCTATCTGAAGATAAATAGAAAAATATCCTCGAGAGAAGATTTAAAATAAAAATTCCAGGTATTCTAAGTATCTTAAAATCTTTTGCTTTTTTATATCTTATAATGAGAGAAAAAAAACTCATGTGCTAGACCCTTCAGATAGACTGTCCTGAAGTTACTAACCCTACCTAACTGTGGCATCATAGACCCACAGGAGAACAGTAATAATAGCATTGAGAATATCCAGAGTCTCTTTCTAATTTTTCCCCCAGTGGTAAGCAACTAACAAGGCCAGATGAGCTGTAAACTCTGGGACAGCTAAAAATTAAATATTTTGATTGATGGTGTGGGATGGGTCAGCTATGCAATTGATCTAATCTCTAGAATCCAACCCTGGTTGAGGCTAAGTCAGGACATAACTAAATAGAGAAACTTTATCAGTATTACAGCTCCCAGAATAGACATCTTTTCTACTTGGTAGCTAGAGAAAATGAGGACCATATTTAAGCATCATTCAACAGTTAACAAAGTAAATAAAGAACAAGTGAGGATTGGATCTCCAGAGCTAGCAAAGAAGTACAGACTAGAACAAGGAAAGCCAAGTAAAATAAAGATGGGACAGGTTTGAACAGGTGACTTATAAGAACTTGCTGAGGAGCACAGACTCTGTTCTCTAAGACCAAAGTGACCAGGGTCCATTTCTCCTATAGGACACACCATACCTTGGATGTTGGAAGCAGCCACATATCAGATGGTAGACTCTTACTCAGGTTGACCTTTAACAAATGGAGCAGGCCAGATATTGGCCTGTCTCCACAAAGATTAGGTCTGCTCTGGCCTCCAAGATCTAAGCTGAAGCTACTGGGACTGAGAGCTGGGGGAAGAGACCTTTAGGACAAAGGAGACTGTAAAATTTCTGCCTGAAATTCTGTCATTTATATAGATACATTTATCCATTAGCAGTGCCAGCCACTGTGTGGACAGGATTCGGCAAACTTCCTGAAAAGGACCAGAGTAAATTCATTCAGCTCTGCAGGCCATGTGGTCTCTGTCTTAATGACTCAACTCTGCCCTCGTAGCCTGAAAGCAGCTTTGAACAATATGTAAATTGGCATGCCTGTTATTTTACCCAAAAAAGTGATGGGCCGGATTTTGCCCATGCACTATAGTTTGCTGATCCTTGTAAAGCAAATTAAATTCACTCGGGTTCACAAGAGTCTAATTCCTAAGGGAAATGATGCTATGAGGTTGGTAAGTCAGGAGAAAGAATTAACAAATTAGTGTTTATTCTTCCAATGTCTAGAGGGAATCATCAGATCTGAATAAGGAATAGAGTGAAAGGAGGAGAAAAATAAGTAAGGACCAGCCTAGATGGAGGACTAGGGTAGGAAGATTTTGGAAGCAGCAGTCCAGAGTGAAAAAGACAAGGGAGTAGTCAAGAGCTAAAATAATAAAGTGAAAGCATAGCCTAGGGGGTGGGGGTTGAACTTGATTGTTATCCGAACTCATTGGCTGCACCATTCTCGGGTAGCTACCAGGCTCAGTGAAGAAAGGAAACAAGGTGAGGAGTCTTCACCTTCATGACATCCACAGAAAATACATGTAAGGTACTTTAGGTCATGTATAGCCATGCATTTGGGAAACCCATTTGCATCCCAGTGCAATGGGAAATAGCCTAATAATTTTGAAAAACAGAACCACACCTGTCCAAGGAGCTACAGTCTGCTTTTGCTTGCCTCCTTTTGACAATTTCAAGACATACGAGAAAATCAGGTTATGTTGTGATAAACAGCCTGACCCCCTTTATCTCCATTAATCAGTTCTAGACTCTACTGCGATAAATGAATTTCCGCGAAGTAGGATTCTTTATTTATACAGTCGTCCCTCACCGCAAAAGTCGAAGAGCGAAGTGGCGAGGGATGACTGTACTACATGTTTTTTCAATTTCTGCATCATTTTGTAGTTATAGACATACAGCAGCCTCACTTTAAAATTCTCACTCTGTGTAACAAAGTTGTGGGTTCATTTCATTGTATTGATCATATTTGTCAAGGTACAGGTGTTTGGGGACAAAGTTTGTATTTTCATTTTTAGTTGAGTGGTAGTATAGTCAGAGATGATGGCCTGATTTTCTACTCTGAGATTAATAAGTTTGCCCTGGCCGGTTTGGTTCAGTGGTTAGAGCGTCGGCCTGTGGTCCAGAGAATTAATAAGTTTATTTTGGCCAATTAAATGTTACATTTTTATTAAGAATTCATAGGCACATGCAAGGAGGTGTCTATCTTGTTTTAAGATGATATTATGTCATATATTTCTTATACAGTGATACCTCGGTTCTCGAATGCCTCGGTTTTCGACCAAATGGAGATTCGAGAAACTTTTGTCTCGGAATCCGAACAAATATTTGGAACTCGAACTTCCGAGATGAGCCGAGTTGAGCCGAATGGCGTTCATTCGGCCCAGCGCGCCTTGCTTGCGTCATCAGTGTGAGTGCAGAGAGAGAGTCACGCTTTGTGGAGTCACGCTTTCCTATTGGTTTCATTGCTTTGGTTCTCGAACAATTCGGTTCTCGACCGTCCTCCTGGAACGAATTATGTTCAAGAACCGAGGTATCACTGTATATTACATAGTATATTGTATATAATATATTTTATATGTTTTATATATATGCATATATTCTGTAGTTTTTCACTTTGGTTTGTGTTAGGTTAGGGTCATTAACTTTTAAACTAACATTTTTACCTCTCTTTGATTTAAATAAAGTAGTGTACTTTGTTTTTGTATTGCAAATGAATAAAGAAAATCTTTTTTTTATTTTGTCCATGAGAATGTTCATGTGCCTGCATTATCCTTATTTCAATTGTGGCAAATAGATTTATCTAAAATTATTGAATCAAAATGAAATCTTGTAGGACTTCGGTGATTTTTATTTTCAGCTTCTATTAATAATATAATTGTATTGTGTGTTTTTTATTTCTATAGTATAACTTTGAAAGTTATGGATTTTATAGGGGTTGGAAAATTTTTAAATTATGATACAAATGAGAATTTTTTTTTTTTAATCACTCGAGGACATTTTTCCATTTTTTGTTCAGATAGAGTGGGAAGGGGAGAGAGGAAGAGAGAGAGAGAGAAACATTGATGTGAAAGGGACACATTGAGTGGCTACCACCCGCACGGCCAACCAGGGCCGGGGACAAACCGCAACTGAGGTACATGCCCTTAGCGGGAACCAAACCCGGTCTCTCTGGAGCGCAGGTCAACGTTCTAACCGCTGAGCCAAACCGGCCAGGGCTTTTTGAATGTTTTTAATGATACGCACCCTCAGTTTCTTTTTTAAAAGTACAGATATTTTTTATTTGTTTTTACTGACACTAGATTTTCTAGTTTTTTATTTAATTTATTTGTAAACAGTAAGTTTTACCAGACTGTCCTTATTGCTGTGCTGTTAGTCACGTCACTGGGATTCCCACTTTGCTTACACTGCTGTGCGGTGTCAACTGGAATGCATTGTTTCACTCTGGCGCATATCCAATCTCCTTTTCCCTTGTCCCACACACATTATGCATGCCATACCTGCAAATCAGCTTCTGTTGTGTAATGAATCTAATTTACTTTCTGCCACACTCATACTAGGTTTTCAGTGGTTAGCCATAAAGATAGTTAAATATATCAGTATTGGTATGGTATAGGTGTAGGTGTAGATATATATTATGTAGTATCTTAGATACACACAGACACACACGCACTTTAATTCTGCTAGAATGCATTTAGAGTATTTCCACAGGTGTTAAGAAATGTGTAACGTTAACTGCTGAAAAGAATTCAAGGGTTCATTGTAAAACTGAAGTCAGTGAATGGAAAGAAAATGGAAATCCATTCTTAAGAAGATCTGAGCTTTATAGGAGATCAATTTTTACTCTTGCCCTCCCAAATAGTAATCCTTTTATCTAAGGTTAGCAATACATATATAAACATTGAGTAACCCACTCAGCATTACTGGTGAGTAGTAGTGTAGATAGAGATTTCATTTAGCTGGGAAGTAAAATGAATGGTATCTGCTTAACATCAAACAGGAACTTGGCACTGTACAAGTGGGTAATGAAAGAAGGTGCAGTTTTCTACACATTTCCAGAACCTGCAAGTACCCATATCTGACCACATTTCCAGATTTAAATATTTCTTTTCATAACAATGCTATCTTTCTAGTCACAGGCTGGAGAGTCAGTATTGACATGAGAACAGCCTTCCTGTCCTCAGTATTCCTTCCCTAACTACCCACTCCTGTCCAGTTGGTTTTTAGATCATGTCATACCCACTTCCCAATTCTTTTATCCTGGGTTAGGCTCTCCAAACTGCTTGCCTGAGGGCTTCTAAATCTTCAACATGGATTTTCTGCCTCCAGCCTTTCTGTACTCCTAACATGTAGGTCAGCAATCTTGCATGAAGGATGATGTCACATGGATGATACACCCTACACCACTTTTTCTTTCACATAAGAAGGCATATCAGATTGTAAGAACGAGTGATAGTATAGAAATAGTATTGAAGCTACTCTAATTTTTAAAAGACACAGCTTTATGCTTATATTGCTAATTGTTTTATACACCATTCTTTGAACAAAATATACCTTTTCCTGCTGCCTGTAATGCCCTCTCAATTGTACTTTTTATTTTATTTTTTAAGATATAAATCATACCATTTATTTATTTGAATTTTAGAGGATGTTTGTTAAAGCTGGGGACAGTGAAACAAGAAAGGGCTGGGGAAATGAGCCTAGGCTGCTTTGGCTCACTAAGAAGTCAGAGACAAGGGGCCTTGCCGGAATGAACTGCCACTGCCCATTGCTGCCCTGTTTGCAAGCCTTGTGGGGTCTCTTAGAGTCTAGGAGATGCATGCCTGTGGGTTATCCACACCAGCAGGAATTTTGGTTGTTGCATGAAACACAGTTAAAGCAATATTAATTTTTTTAAAACTTACCTTTCCTATATTTCATGTTTTTAAAATCCTGTACATTTCTTAAGACCCAATTTGAAGGTTGGCACTTACACAAAAAAATTCCTGCTACTATTGGCAAAGAACAATCTTTTCATCTTTAGAATTTGCTCTGTACCTAGTTTTTACTGCGTAACACTTACCTGCCCTACATAGTATTGTAGTCACCTGAATATGTGTTGTAAATTGCAGGTGTGGTATACAATAGAAGTTTCTTGAATCAATAAATGAATGTTGAATTTTATGCTTTCTAGATTAATTATGGTCAGTGATAATAAATAGAGACTGGTTGGCAGCAACAAAGTACTCCAGTGTATAAACCATTGATAGTAAACTATTTCTGACACAGTAATTTGAGAAAGTGTTCTGAACAGTTACTTAGCATTCAGAAGATATTTATTAATTAATTTACATTTACTCCAAAATTATTTAGAGAAGAATCTTTGAGGATAATGAAGATGAACATGCTGACTTTTTTGAATGTATTCAAATAGTTGTGCTAAGCACAGTTAATTAGAAAAGGTCTCTCAAGTGATTGTACTTAAATATAATTGTAGCCAAATATAATGCGTGTCTTACAAGCATTTAGCAATGTTTTTCCCCTGGGGGCATTTCTCAACCTTTTTTTCTTTGTTGTGTTCTTCTGAATGGCTTACATAATTCGTGAGAAGTGTTCAATAAATGTAAACTGTTGTTATTAGTGTTGATGTTATAGTAAGGATTTACTTGGGAAGCCCAAAATCAAACACAACAGTATACAAGGAAAATGACAAATATTGAGGATTAAGCCAAAGCTGTAGAATTTTGGAATTTCTCTATTGTAATAGTTTTTCAAATACCTCATTATTAATATTAGTTACCCAATTTGAAAAAATAAACTGTAGAGTATTAGGGATATTCTTCAACTCCTAGAGCTAGACAGATACTTCTCCAAAAGGTTACACTGCCTGTCAATAGCAGAATTTAAAGTTAACCTCTAGTATGCAAATCATATTATTGCTGTGCCTTTTAAAATGTATAAATAAATATCAAAAACTTAATCAATTTTTATTACTAGGATTTAAAGAGGAAAATATACGATAGAAATCTTTAATGTAAAAAAGAGTTGATTAATTCATTGTAACCTAAAGCTTTACTAAGTGTAAAAAAAATTGTGTAAGACTTCCTCATTCCCATGCATTTAACTTTGAATAATAACAGTTTTTTCCAGCTTGAACTCTTCCAAGATGTACTGTTTTGTTTCTGAACTTTCTTTGCATGAAAGTACTATCTATTCTAGTCTTAATCTTGTCTTTTAATTTATCCATAATGCTTTTATGATAATATTTCATTAAAAGCACAAAAGCATTCATCTTCATACAAATGATTTAAATATAGCTACAAGCTTTTAAAGAATGACTTGTTTCTTTATACATTTATATCTAATAAATGATGAAAATGTGAAATATATAAATATTATTTGATGACTGTTACCAAACCAATTTTATTTCTGTATGCCATTATTTGTGATCACTAATAGAATACTTTTTAAAATATAGGAACTCAGTGAGCTCAGCGACTCAGAAATAGTGTGTGGCAAATTGTCAAAACCTTTGCATCTGCTTTGATGTGACAATTCATCTTTGACATATGAATGTAGGATATAAATGTTAATCCAATAGTGAAAGACTGACTTAAAACTGATTTTGTAACTGGCTGATCTGTGTCAGACTTGAATTTGAATAACTAACTAAAATACTGGTTTTCCTTCTTTAGTGTTTAGGACAAATAATATAAAACAGATACTGTGCAGTATACTAACATTATTGCTACATGTTCCTACAGATGAAAATGATAATATTGAGATAGATACTAACGAGGAGATTCCTGAAGGCTTTGTTATAGGAGATGGAGATGAACTTACTAACTTAGAAAATGACCTTGATACTCCCGGTAATTTCAAATTATAAATATTTTGTGTCCTGCTGCATGGCAAACTTTATCATTATATTTTTATTATTATCTCATTAATGGTGATAATAAGTTCTTTTTGTCGTTTTATTACATTTATGTCCTCACGAATCATTTAACTAAATCCACCTTCCATCAACTTTGTTATTATTTGTTTTAGATTTAGTTAAAATTATCAATAAAATTGGAATAGCAAATTGTAGTTAGAGTTCTCTTATTACTAAGATTTACTTAAAAACTTTTTTTGTTTAATTATATATTAATTTGAGAGAGAGAGAGAGAGAGAGAGAGAGAGAGACATCAGTTTGTTGTTCCAATCATTCATACGTTCATTGGTTGTGCCCGGGCTAGGATTCACTTTTATATTTTATGTTATATGATACAATTTGTAGGCATTCAATCATTGGTTCCCTTCTTAACCTAAATATTTTGGTGTAATGTTACAAGGTATAGATATAGTACCTATGGAATTCTTCAAATGTAAATCAGATTTTCTGACTTGATTACAATTGTCTTAGTTATGATATTATTTTGCAAATTTTTGGCTTGCTTTACTACTAATAATTTATACATACGTATCTGATTAGAATAAGACACTTTGAAAACTGCTTATGTAGACTGCTATTTATCACATATCTTATATCAATAAATACTATACCGATAAGCACATTGGTAATTGACCTTCTAGGTTATTTTTTTAAATATAAAGATATTTGCTTATGGTTTAATAGATGAATGTTTCATATGCATTTCCTTTGTAAGTCAACAGCAGGTAACAGTACAAAGCTTTGTATACCAGAGGGGTTCCATAAATGCTTATTGAATTGAATTCTTATAGCAATAAAAAGTCTTTAGTTATCTTTCTAGAATTAAAGGTAAGGAACTGAGGTCCTTAATATCTATATTTTCCTATAAAAAGCTAAAGGGAGTGAGAGCAGGTCTTCTTCTTAGCACTGACATGCTACTGAAATGCTAAACTGTTTTGTTTCTTCCTCTGTTTGAAACCATGCTGTTATTTCTCCAAGAAACAATCAACCTGGGTCTTCTTATCTATAGGGAGTACCTAATAAAACCCATACCCTTTTGTCAGTAGCTCCTTCATGGTCTAATATTAAATTATGCTCTACCAGGTAGGTGTTGTTTGTTTATAATTGTGCAAGTCCAGGAAATGCTGACATAAAAGGAAAACATTTAAATGTTTATCCCAAAATTAGGACTGTCTTTTATTTCTTCCTATTTTAAATACTGTAGAACTTGGGAAAATTTGATTTTTCTTTTTGAAAAAGATTTTTGTTGTTGCTTACCCACCTTTTCACCACCCCCACCAGCAGCTTTATCAGAAACCACTAATGTCCCTTTATTGCTGATGACCTTCATAAGTACAGAATTGAAGGCTTAGCAGTCAATTTATGAAAGTATAAAACCAATGTCAATAAGTGATGTATATTTCCTCATTTTACAATAGATTATAAAGACAGGAAAAATTAGCTATTGCTTAGGTAACATGAAGGGAATTTTCTAGTTTTAGTTATAGTAACTTTGTGGGGTACTTTAAAGTTTGATTACTATTAGTTGTAATAGGCTTGACTCTTGTCCTTTTAAAAAACTTTCTTCCTACTTTTTGCCAAAAGAGAAAACCCGTCTCAGTTTTTCTTTTTTTGAAGTTAGCTAATATATTGTTTACAACTCAAGAATGCCAATAAATGTTGGCATGTGCATAGTACAGACTTTCTAAATCAGGCTACAGTTTATTTCATGGTTATAAGAAATAAGAATGCAAACTGGAATCTGGAAGCATGTAGCTTACATTCTGATTTTTATCCTTGCTTTATTTTCCCCAAAATTCATTTTTTAATATGTATATATGTCATAATGTTTTAATAATAAATTGTTTAATCTTTATCTTGATTTGACCATAGTTCATCAGATATTGTTTAAAAGAGAAGCCTAGCAATATAAACTGACCAATTTGCATGAAAGTAATGATAATAGCATTTATTAAGAGTCTTATAATTAGAAAACCTATTAATCTTTATGAAAAATATCATTCACCAAATGGTTGGCATATCTTTTACAACCATTTTATTAAAGAGTTGCTTTGAGTGAATTTGTTTAAGTAGAATTATTTATTTCTATTTTATTATTAAAAATTAATGTACTTGCTAAAAATAATTTGAAGTTTTTTTTTAAGTTATAGCCATATTTTATTTATCTTAAATTTCTATCCATGTTTAATACATTACAAAATTTTATCATCATTATTGTATTTCTGCCCTCTAATTAGAAGGTATTTGTAAACATATACCGTTTCAATACTGGGTATATGTGTACACAGATAAACATCGGATTCTAACAGTGTATACATGATTGTTTGAGATCATATTAAGAATTTATTTTAGTATTATAGTATATAAATTTAATGTACTAGAAGAATTGAAACTCTAAAATATAATTTAGAATCAAATTTATCACCTTTTAAAAATATCTATTTCATAATAGCTGGTTTTATTATATATAACCTAAGTAGTTAATCATATAAATATATACATCAAATACAGACTTAGGTTTTCAGATAAATATAGCTGCTATTTACTATAGTGTAAATGAATCGTCTTTAGGTGTATTGACTATATTCTTTAAAGGGACTGATTTGGGGGGAAAATACATATATGTGTTTATATATACACTAACAATATATGCTGAGAGACTAAATCTTAATTTTTCCCACCACAAAAAAGAAATGATAATTATGTGACATGGTAGAGGTATTAACTAATGCTGCAGTGGTAATCATATTGCAATATATAAATGTATCAAATCAATACCTTAAATTTATACAATGTTATATATGTCAGTTATATCTCAATTTTTAAAAAGAATATAGCCAACATACGTAATGACTACTCGGTTATACTATAGTTAGATAGTATGTAGTTATACATATATATGTAAAGAGTTCTGTATATGTCTGCACTGATATGGTATTACACAACCCAAATGTCCTTTTTCTTTTTTTAATATAGTAATATTTTTATGATGTACCTTAAATTGATAGCCTATACATATAAATGCATCTTACTCGGTTATTCATAGTGCTTGCATATTTAACAGAACAAAACACTAAGTTGGTGGACTTGAAGCTGAAGAAGCTCCTAGAAGTTCAGCCACAGGTGGCAAATTCACTCTCCAGTGCTTCTCAGAAAGCTATAACTGAGAACTCAGAGCAAGACATTAAGGTAAATCTTACTTGTTTAAAATATTTGACTTAGTATCTGTGTATTCTAATTTCCACTAGCATTCTCTAATCCTAAAATCAATTTCTTACCAATTCTTCACATTAAGATTAAGATATAAGACTTTTTATTAAATAGCCAATAAATTAAATATCAATATGGTAATCACTATTCATCTACTCTAAGTTGATAATGTTGGTAAAAGTAGAAACTATTCTTGACTTCTACATGTTTTTATTTTTCTAAGAAGAATTTTGCTAAGAGAATTCTGTCACATTTTTTCTATCATCCTCAACTTTTAACTAGTTTGGATAAACTAAAACTAATGTTAATTAATATCTTAAGATGATATGTAATAGAATTTAAATTTTTTGAACTTGCATGTGTTTTGTGTCTATATGAATCTTACTTCTTTTAGGATTTTAGCCAAAATGCCATATTATAGTGATAGTATTATTATTTAGACTATTTACATTATGTCCATTCAAGCCTTTCCCCCTTTTTGCACTGTATGATTAATATTTTTCTAGCTTTAGGGTACTTCTAGTCCTGTATAACTTTTCACCCACCTGCGGACTATGGGGACTGCCCTGCTGACTGAAAGGATTTCCTTCCCCTGACACAGAGATGCTTTGAAGTCCCAAAACAATGACTTTCATTGCTTTTTCCTTATACTGTCGGTTTCTATAAATTGGTGATGAAAGTGTGTGGTAGCACTAGAGGACTTTCGGTCTCTATCTTTGAACAAAAGGAAGCCTGGATCAGGTCTGATTTTTTGCGTTCAATTTAGCTTTCTGCAGTGGATTTAATGCAGAATGAAGCTGGCCTAAGAATAATACAATGGATTGAAAAGGCAAACTGAATTAGTGGGTTTAAAGGAATACATTTGTAAAGTGGCAGAAGTACCCAGTCATAAAAAGGTTTCTTAAGATGGGATTTGCTGGCTAATCGCACTGATATTTTAACATGTTGCCAGGCCTCAAAAATTTAGCCATGTTTATTTTGGTAAAGACTTGAGTTTTAGACTTTTGGGCAGTTATTATGATAACAGTAGAATACATACATTTTTTTTTTCCTTTTTATTGAATTTACTGCGGTGATGGGTTAAAAAAATTATACAAGTTTCAGGTGCACAATTCCACAACACATTATCTGTACAGTGTATTGTCTGTTCACCACCCCAAGTCAAGTCTCTTTCCATCACCATTTATCCCCCCATACCCTCTTTTAACCTCCCCACCCAACCTCTCCCCACAATCACTACATTGTTGTTCGTTCCCATGAGTTTTTATCTTTTTTTTTTCCTTTTTGCTCAATCCCTCCACACTTTTCTAAACAAACAAACAAACCTAACTAGCATATTATAAGCATGATACTAATAAATATATAACTTTAAAAAATAAATATAGGTATTTTCATTCTTAAGGTTTAATTATTTAAGTATATTAAATTGGTTTTGCTTTCCAGTAAGCTCATGTAGTAATTTTTAAAGTTATTCCAACAAAAGGTGTGCTTTAAACAGCTTGTCTTTGTATGGATCTTTTTAGTTAAGATTTTTAAAATGGTGCTTATAAAGAACATATAGAGTCCATCTGTTCTCTTGAAGCTTTCAGCATTGATTTGGGGTTTTATTATTTTTTTTAATAAAATGCAGTTTACACGTTTATAAATGAGGCATTCTGTGTTTGTGGAAAAGGATAAACTGTTACCTTCCCTTGAGGATTCTGTATCCCAGGCCTCCTTGAGGCTAGAGAATAGGCCATTGGAGGACTCCCTCATTACCGATTGTCTCAATGCAGAGGAAGGGCAAAGTCTTGGTAGCTTTTGATAACCAGTTTCAGCATTCAGCAGGCTTAGCTATTAGTCATGCATCTTAGCCTTTCCCTATTTACTTTCAAAACACTTAATAAAAATAATAAAAGATTAGGTATAAAATGAAATATTTGTTTGCTACACAGCACCTCGGTATCTGCAGCTTCCACACACTGCGGTGGTTCAGTCTTCTGGGATATTTCTTGTTGATAGAACCATTTGAATTTGTTACCAGTATTAACATAGGAAGCTCTAGAAAAGATAATTGTAGTTTCCTTAGCTGCAAAGGGCTTACTTACAAATCTGGCTTTGGAAAGTTATAGCTGATGAAATGCAGTTCAGTGGGGGTAGTATTATAATCCTACCTTTTAGCCTTCATCCAGCATTAGTGGTTTATCTCAATGGGCATAAAATTAGAAACTAGTTCTTCTTGTCATACAAGTCTGTGGGGCTGTACAAACCGATGGGGCAGAATAGCAGGGGGAATAGACAGAGGCAACATGGCTTTTAAATGATACATATCATCTGGAGAAAACACAGTGTCTGATGAATCAAAGTTAGTAAGAGTGAGCCTCCATTTAAACCATGTCTCCCAAAGATTTTGGTTACAGGTAACAGAACTTGCAGTTGAGCTGTTTAGAGCTCTTTAAAATCCTTTTTCTTTCAAAAAGTTTCTAAATTGGCATTATCTTAAATCAGTAAAAATTGTTTTACTAATGTGCAATTTCATATTTATAATATCAGGACTCTCTTACCATGTTTGTTGTACTTTTAGAATGGCACAGAAGATCTCCGGACTGAGCGATTACAAAAAGCAACAGAACGATTTAGAAATCCTGTTGTGTTCAGTAAGGATTCTACAGTCAGAAAAACTCAACTTCAGTCTTTCAGTCAATATGTTGAGAATAGACCAGGTAGGTACACTTTTTAAAATGTTTTCCCATCTTATGATTTAACATTATTTTGCTGTATATATATGTTTAAAAGCTGATAATGTAAATTCACATTTCAGTACACAAATATCAAGCTTTATAATAATTTTACATGTCTTTCCTTTTTTTTTAAGAGATAAAAAGGCAGAGATCAATACAGGAAGATACAAAGAAAGGAAATGAGGAGAAGGCAGCGATAACTGAAACTCAGAGGAAGCCATCAGAAGATGAAGTGCTTAATGTATATTAATTTTTTGTGTGGTTTCATGATTGCTGATAATTCCAAACTGTATGTGGAAATAGTGCCTTTATTTGTTAAAATGAGATGTTAGGTTTTTTAAGATGTCAATCTCCAGTGCATTCAAAGCAGAGTGAGAGGGGTGCACTGTTGAATTAGTCTGCAGTGTGGTGATAATTGTCAGATAAAAAAAAATGAATTTTTCAGAGTTCCACAGCCCCAGCTTCCTTGAGACATTTCCATCAGGGCACTTCCCATAAAGAGATTCCAGTATTGATCTACCGGGAGGATTTTAATTATTACAATAGCAGATACCGCAGAGCTGCAGTTAGAGGGAAAAGTCACATGAGACCTGCTAGAATTTCTCAGCCAACCCATTTTGTTGGCTTGGGTTAATGGGTGTTCAACCTTTCCATTATCCAGATCAGCCGTGAATTACTAGCTGAATGATGTTTGCATTAATATAATATATATGGTAATTTCTTCACTTAATTAACAGGGAGGTTCAGCTCAGTAGGGGTATGGGCTGATCATGTGTAAAATTGATTTGTGAGGGAAATATTTGATAGACCGCAGGGAGAAAGCTGCTTTTGATGGACAGCTGTGGGACAGAAGCAGGAAGAACAAGTTTTAACTTGAATTTTTGTCTGAAAGCATAGCTCTCTTTAATGGTGCTACTTTTTTTTATTATCTACAGTTTGTATAAATGTTTTTATTGCTTTTACTGTTAAAATAGTCTTTGTTGGGTTTTAAAATACTTGGTAAGTGCACCCAGAGTTACAAACTACATTTTAAGGCCCTTAAAAACTTCTCATTTTTAAGCTATTATACTAAGACCCCATTACATATAATAGCTCACCGAAATATCCCGATGAATTATTCGGTATAATTTTTAAGTTGCAGAATACATGACGATACTATATATTTACACAAAATAAATCTGATTATAAACTTTGTTACTGTTTTTAACTGAATTAATTAGTAAAAGCAATGAAGTTTTATGTGTTGCTTATCACATTTGCTTTCTTATATCTTTATTACTTATATTGTCTTTGAAAACCATTATGTTCGAACTCTCTGGATGGAATGAGAAAACAAAAGTTCCTTTTGAAAATATTCTGCTGTCTGGCAGATAAGTACAAAAACCATTCACCAGATTACTCCAGATTTTAAAGTTAACATTAGCATTTCCTTTTTTTATAATTGTTCTGTTATATTTCATATTAAGAAAGAATAATATCTATTTTGTATGAACCTTTAAAAAATACAGTGACTTATTTGATCATACTATCCCAAGAAATTGTTTTATAATTTCTTAAAATATTTCAACTTGAAGTTTGCCAGCTACCACAATCAAGTTAACAATAAGCTAATATAAATTGAGCTAATGTGTGAGTACAAATATTTACTCATTCTAAAAATATATAATTTATACATATGGCTAGACATGTTTATTGAGCATGAGAATTCTAAAGTATGCTCATAAATAACATTTCTTGATTTTTGTTTCTTGTTTAAGGCGTACCGAAAGATAATCCCTCATGGCTTCTTAGAGATTAATATGCTTCTAGGTAGGAAAGGGATTTGACAGCAGAGGATTGTTCATATTTATTTCTCTGAATAAATAATGTTATAAGTGCTGATGGTGGTGGTGGTGGTGGTGATGGTGGTGGTGGTGGTGGTGAGAGTAATCACTTAAGTAGTTCTTCAGTATTTCTGAGCTACTTAGAAAACATAGCCTTATAAATGTCACAAGGTAAACAGGTATTCCAAATCCAAAGGAAGCTATAACCCATCAATTTGTAACTATGCCATTGATAGTAACCCTGTCCCTAATGATTTAAATTTGTAATACGAAAATAAGAAACAAGACTATATGGGTACTTTATAATAGAACTGCTACTTCAAATAAAACTTATAAGGATGATTTTTTTAAATATGAATGGTTGTAGAAAGTAAAATTTCAAGTTGAGATCCAAATTTGATTAAATGGAAAATTAATCAGCCTACTGGTTGCGTTAGAGCCTATGTGGCAAGGTTTGAAACCACCTGTCAAGTTAGAATTCATAGCTACGATAATTAGTAATACATCAACAGAATGACATATTAAAGTATAGGAGCCGGCTGGAGGGAAGACTGGAGATATTAGAAACTAAACTTCTGTTTTTATCATTTTAGAATCATTTTCAATAGTATACCCACTATGAAAACAAAAAAGCTCTCTTTAATTTTATATTTTTTGTAAGAACAAATCTGTCTGATTTTTCAGGACAGATACTTTAAGAAACAATTCTTTAGTAAAAGTCCAGTTTTCTATATTACAGTTTTGAATTAAAGGTGTCATTGGTGTTTATTTTGACATTCACTAAGGGGGAAATTGTCCTGTGTCCTTGTCCATGCTTAAATAACTCTGACTCAACTGTAAAGAGAAGTTTTTATAACTTAGTGTTAACTTTTGAAATCTGGCAAATCTGGATGTGAAACTATAAATATATTACTAAACGGTTGAGATTTTTTTATTCACAAAAGTTTTGCTACACGTAATACATATGAAAATTCTTTGGTTCACAGGGAATTGCTTTTTGGTACTAAGGGTGATACTAAGGGTGTATTTGGTTCTCTAGGTAAGTGCTTTACTAAGTGTTTGTAGAAAGGGAAAATGCAACTTACAAGTGATTTTTTTTTCCCCTTCCTGTTTGTTCTCGTTAACAGAAAGGGTTCAAAGACACCAGTCAGTATGTTGTAGGAGAATTGGCAGCACTAGAGAATGAGCAAAAGCAAATTGACACCCGTGCCGCGCTGGTGGAGAAGCGCCTCCGCTATCTCATGGACACAGGTACGGTGCCCAATTACACTGTAAACAGTTTTGGCAAATTGAGCGTTCACAAACTCTTATAGAGTTTTGGAAGTGTGAATCTTTGAAGCCTGAATGTTCAGCAGAACTGCCTTGAAAATAAAAAGGCTGCGATTTGCAGCCACCTCTCTGGGCCCTGGTGATAAGAGTGCCTTCATGGGAAGTGATAACTCGCCCTGATACCGTGTGAGCCAGCACTATTGAACAGTGTGCTCATCCATGCAGAGTTGGAATACACATCTGTGCCTCATTGATATGCCACTGCTTAAAAAAAAAAAAAAGTAAGATCTTTACTGTTCTACTGATTTATTGGAGAAAAAAAAGATTTGGCCAGCTAAAGCCATGTACTGCATGAAACAGAGCACTATGCATAGGGGATGGCTCCATGGACTAGATCACTGAAATTTGAGAATACTATCTGGTTACTGATGCTCCACAATTTTTTTTTTCAAGAGAACAGGTTTTTAAAAGTCTGTAATACTTTGTGTCACAGTTGCATTTGAAAGGATTAAGGCATATAGGAAGGTTTGTAAAAATGGGTTAGAGCAGTAAGTAGCTCCTAACCAGAGGGTAGATTGGTATTTGATGCTGATTGCCAATAGTGATTGAATAAATATAAGTACACAATAAGCTATTGGGGAAAAAAGTATGTGTATTTACACACACATATTTCTTTAAAGTGCTCCTCCTACAAAAGGGGTAAAAATGAGAAATAGATTAAAATCGTACAAAATTTAAAGTAAATTATATTAATTTTATGGCAGTATTAAAATAGATTGATAAACTAGTAAAATAGATTACTAAATTAATAGTCATAGATTAGGATTGGAAATTTTTTCTGAAATATTTCTTCTTTATTTGCCAGAAATGTATTTATAATTAAAAATTTCCTCCAAAAAAGATATATGAGACATTTGAAAATGCCTACACTAGTGAAATCAGAACACACTGGAACAGAAGGAGACCTTTGGCTTTATTTGGCCCGTTGGGTTTTACACTGTGTTCTGTGAAGTCCTAAAGCTTCTTCAGAGACACCTGGGGGCTGCCAAGACAATAAGGAGCAGAAAGACAGGCTTCTGAGTTTCTTACCTCACTTCAAACAGAATAGCTCTGAAATATTTGAAATAGCAGGCTTCTTGGCAGAGTTCATTTATAGAGAAGGTTCTGCTGCTTAAAATTTAAAACCAAGAAAACTTTTAATAATTTTCTTGAAAACTACTGCCTAACCCTGTCATTGTATAGAGGAGACAGAGGCACAAGAGAAGCTCAACATCACATAGATCAGTAAGTGACCAACCTTAGACTAGAATTCAAGTCACCAGAACCCTATCAAACAGGATCCTTCCTTCTACACCAGATTACGTAGAACACGTTTACCGTTGCCCTAACAAGTTACCTGTATGCTCAGCCTTATGCATATACATTTGTTTGGATTCAACATATGTACCAAAAACCAATGTATTGTTTCACATCTGTATTTTTTGTTTGATTTCTAAGGGATTTTGAAAATATTAGTTGTGTTAACTATATAAAAAAAGGTAAACTGGGTAGTATAGTTTCTATTATATATTTTGTTTATTTATTTTAATATGTTTTTATTGATTTTTTTTTAAGAGAGAGAGGAAGGGAGAGAGAGATAGAAACATTGATGTGAGAGAGAAACATCAATCAGCTTCCTCCTGCATGCCCCCAACTGGGGACCAAGCTTGCAACCTGGGCATGTGCCCTGAGCAGGAATTGAGCTGGGACCTCTCAGTCCAAGGGATGATGCTCATTCCACTGAGCCACACTGGCTGGGCTATTTATTTATTTTTAATAATTTTTTCTTTATTGATTTTAAAGAGAGAGGAAGGGAGAGGGGGAAAGATAGAAACATCGATGAGAGAGAACATTGATTGGTCACCTCCTGCATGTCCCCCACTGGGGATCAAGCCCACAACCAGGAATCGAACTGGCAACCTCTTGGTGCATGGGTTGATCCTCAACCATTAAGCCACACCAGTGGGGCTGTAATACAGTTTAAAATTATTGCCATTAAATATTTTAAGGAGAACAATTTTTTTTAAACAAATTCTTCCAAGTGAACCATCTTTCCTTTTTGTATTAGATAAAATAGATGTTGCTGTACAAGAAGTCTTGTGCCACTAGAGAAAAAGCTAGAAATTGTTTCCTTCTCTTCATTCATATTTAGAGGCTTATTTATTGAGGTTTCTAACCAAAAGAGACTCAAGTTCTTCTTCCCATTCCACATATTACTAATGAAGCCGTGAAATGGCTGCATTCCAACTACAGATCATGTATAATCTGAAAGTTTTGGAGAATAAATTGATTCTAGAATCTTTCCAGGACTTTATATTCCTTATTTTGCCAGACAGAATCTTATCTAGACTTGGTTTGCTGCTGCAGACTCAGGCTAAAATGACCTGGTTCTCCAACTTGATAAGCTCCAAGAATCACTCTGCACTGTCTTGAACCTCCTCCAGTGCGAATAATGGTTTCCTAAGATGTGCCTAAGCCTAGCTAGTATCTGAAGTAAAAAATAAGATGTTAGAAAGGGAAAGCATATGTTCATCCTTTTCTTTTTTGGGGGGGTAGTGGTTAATAGTTCCAACTTTTCATTTATTATAGTAGTTCCTTTTTTTGGTATATTAGTGTTTTCAATGTACTTTCTGACTCTCAGTCTATTAAATAGAGCAGATAGTTCCATGTTCTTTTTATAAGGAAACTGAAGCTCAGATGGGAGAAATGGCTCATTTAAGATGGACTAATTAGTAATGGTTGAATTAGAGCTTGAACTCAAGTTTTTAGGTTTTCTAGCTCTTGAGTCAGTCCACCATAGCTTTCCCACCATAGCTTCTTTACAGAACAAATATATATTATCTGCTATGTCAGTTTTTATATACTTGTAGATGTTGACTATATACAATTTTTATTGATTTAAAGTTCACATATCTTAAATTAACCATTTTAAAGTATACCGTTTAGTAGCATTTAGTGTATTCATAGTTGTAAATCACCACCATTTCCAGTGTTTTTTATCACCCTAAACTGAAACGTGTAAGTGGAATCTAATAGTCGTTGCTCTTACATGTCTGACTTCTTTTCCCCAAATGTGTTTTCAAGGTTTAACCATGTTGTAACATGTACCACTACTTTATTTCTTTTTGTGGGTGAATAATATACCACATTTTATTTATGTATTCATCTATCCATTGAGGGACACTTGGGTTTTCACCTTCTGGCTACTATCAACATTTGTGTACAAGCATCTCTTTGAATCTATGTTTGTAGTTCTGTGGGGTATATACCTAGAGTTGGAATTGCTGGGTCATATGGTAATTCTCTATCTAACTCTTTGAGAACTACACTAAATTTTAAATGAGTTGTGAAGTATACTTAGAAATTGATTTTGTGGAAGTGAGAATGCATTTTCCAAAACAAGCACTGTTAAAAGCATCCACAGCCCCAGCAAAGTCAAATAATTCAAAAAGTTGTCCTGGATTTGAGTCCTTGGTTCCCAGAGCTTAAGCAGCTCTGGGTTTTTAGCATGAGACCCTTTGACATCGAAGGTCTAGCGTCCTGAGAGGGAGGTAGTTGGAGCCTGGATGGTGGCCTAGACTGCTGGGCATTTTTCCTGGTATGTTGGAGAAAGCTCTAGTAAGAAAGGAGCAAAGGAATGTAAGAGAGAGGCTTGATATATCCGACAACAAGAGAGGAATGTGCAAGGGATGAAAAGGCAGTAGAGGAGGAAGGGCTCAAAGGATCCTAACATCCTTTTGGCAGAATAGCATCAGTGGCAGAGACAAAGCAGCTGTGGGGATTTTTATTTCTGAAATTGAGTAATCCTAAATCAGTGATCATCTGAATACTAAATAACAATACTGTGTGTGTGTGTGTGTGTGTGTGTATGTGTGTATGTGTGTGTACTGCCATTCCACCTGAAATCTATAAAATCCTATGCAAATACTAGATAATTTTTTCCATCAGCTTTTTTTGTTGTTGTTACAGATGTTTCTCCTTTTTCCTCCATTGACACCCTCCTTCCCCTCCCTCTCCGTCCCATCCCCAGCTTTGTTGTCCATGTTCATTGGTTATGCGTACATGCATATAAGTTCTGTGGTTTATTTCCCCCCCACCCCCTCTTCTGGGGATTTTCAGTTTGTACCCTACTTCCACGTCTCTGGGACTACCTATTCTTCAGACTGTTATGTTCATTATATTCCACAAATAAGTAAGATCATATGATATTTGACTTTCTCTGCTTGGCTTATTTCGCTTAGGATAATACCTTTCAGGTCCCTTCATGTCGTCTCAAAGGATAAGAGATCTTTCTTTCTTACAGCTGCATAGTGTTCTATTGTGTATATGTACCACATCTTTTTTATCCATTCGTCTACTGATGGACACTTGGGCTGTTTCCAGATCTTAGCTATTGTAAATAGTGCTGCTATGAACATTGGGGTACATATCTTCTTTCTGATTGGTGTTCAGGCTTCTTAGGGTATATTCGTAGAAGTGGGATCACTGGGTCAAATGGCAATTCAACTTTTAATTTTTCGAGGTAACACCATAGTGTTTTCCATAGTGGCTGCACCAGTCTGCATTCCCACCAGCAGTGTACTAGAGTCCCCTTTTCTCCACTCCCTCGCCAGCACTTATTGTTTGATCCATCAGCTTTTAATTGGTTTGTTATTGTTTTGTTTTTGTTTGATAATTGTTGCAGAGGATGAATTTTTACATTTCTAGCACCTAACCTTTATAATGGTTACTTCTTTGGCAACAGCAAAACTTGTTAGTTGGAAACATATATGTGTTCTAAACTGACATTTTGTATTAAGTATGGCACTAATGGATCTTTACCAGCAATGTTGTTGTAACCCTTGAAAAAATAGAATTTATAGCAAAAATGCTGATGGGACCTTTTACTAAAGTGCTACAAATAATCTTACTATAATCAGTGGTGTTTATTTTTCATTCCCAAT